ACGGTATGCATGCAGTGCAAATGAGGAAGTCTTCCACTTATACAATGCACACAAATGGTGGAGCATTTATAACTAATTAGTTCGGAATATTAGCCCTTATACTGGACGGTAGCAGCATGAAAACGCTTTATCAGAGAAAGTGCTGTGTGCTCACTCTTGCGATCGCTCCTGCTGCTTATTGTAGAACTCATCGAGGAGTGTATCCAGGCAAAACTGGGGAAATTGAAGTGCTCAAGGAGCTCTTAAATTCTCATTTTCCCGCTTCGAATCCGTGGTCAACTTTATTTGTGGTCTCGGCTCCCGCGAAGCTCGAAGCGTTCACGCTCACAAAGTCTCTGTTCAGAGAGAATATGAGTTGCACTCACAATCCGCGTAGTACCCATCGCCGAACTTTGTCGGATTCTCTCTGGAAAAATTTTCGTACCGAGCGAGCGAAAATGATGACATGGGCCAGTTGTAACTTGAACGGGACACCGAAGTGGTGGCATGGGCCATCATTGCATCGCCTTGATAAGAAAACTTCGATCGAGTTCAGTGATGGGTACCAGACGGGTAGTAGGTACGAGTCATGTTCTCTCTAAAAAGAGACTTTGTGAGCGTGAACGCTTCGAGCTTCGCGGGAGCCGAGACCACAAATAAAGTTGACCACGGATTCGAAGCGGGAAAATGAGAATTTAAGAGCTCCTTGAGCACTTCAATTTCCCCAGTTTTGCCTGGATACACTCCTCGATGAGTTCTACAATAAGCAGCAGGAGCGATCGCAAGAGTGAGCACACAGCACTTTCTCTGATAAAGCGTTTTCATGCTGCTACCGTCCAGTATAAGGGCTAATATTCCGAACTAATTAGTTATAAATGCTCCACCATTTGTGTGCATTGCATAAGTGGAGGATTTCCTCATTTGTACTACATGCACACCGTAGCTGAATAGCGTTAGAGACATGAGAAATTCTGAAGAAACTTTAGGATGGCATAAGCAATTGACGCGGCCCATTTTCTTCAAAAGAACAGAGCAATTCAAATCCACGCGTTAACCAAAATCAAACAACACCATTCTTAGTTTTCCGACACGCCGAAAACGATGGTTGCTATGCCGATTTACGAAATTTCCAAATAAGTCAGAAAACTGAAAAAATCAGGGGGTGGCATATACAATTGACGCGCACTGTAGACCGTGCGGCGATGCTTTTATATATGTTTAAACACCGTAAGAGGTAGTTATGGCCCGAAGGAACTCAGGCGTAAGTTTCCAAACTCAACCTCAAGGGGTAGTCGTTAAAGCCGTATGGTCCAACCATGAAGGGCGAAACACATATGAACAAAGCGCCGCCAATCACCAGCAAATGGTAGCTTCCAGCATTCTATAGATTAGCGGTTACAGCATCCTCCATAACTTACAAGGGAGTGAAGGGTAAATAGACATGACCATTTAAAATGAGATGTATACCACCTGATGCAATTACAGACGCTGATTCCAAATCTGCCTTCCAAGATCTGCTGAACGGTGCTGTGAGCAAAATTACGAAGGTTTTCACCACAAGTGATGCCTTGGCCTCTCGGTGGAAAAGCAGTTTTGCAGACGATGTCAGAAGATCGGATCCGCTTAATCATTTTTCTTTGCCTTTCTTATAGCACGTTAACAGGGGGTAGATTGTGGTTTTCGACTTTTTTCCCTTGATTATTGTGACTTTGGAAATGCAGAACTCTAGAATATGCAGGAACGGGAAAGCAACGTGGCATTTTCTCGTCGAAAGAGTGTAATCAGCGACTCCAAAAAAAACCAAACTACCATTTGTAACAAATTTCTGGCCAAATCGAGAATTTGACCCCTATATCTAAAACTTGGAGGAACCACGGGTTGTATGGCCCTTTAGTATATAACTGATACTTTCTGCACCACCCACGAGTACAACTTTTGTGGAAAAGAAGGTTCCGAGCGTTTAACATAAACAGGGACAGTAGAAACCCATCATAAAATAACCTTCATTTTTTGCGCCTTGTCGCCAGGCGGTCTTCTTGACATTGATCGCTGCCCAGGGCCACCAGGTCCAAGCACTTTCTCAGAGTCCAGGTGTAGTCTCTAGGAATGTGTTATAAGATGTAATTAGAGTTTCCGAACGTGAATATCGCCTTGGTGCGACGCGAAAACTCAGGGGGTGCATTATGAAGCTAGTTCTCTCCTTCTGTCGTGACAGCCACGACCTCGAGTAAAGGTGCTCTAAAGCAGCTGGTCAGAGGCAGGGCGAAATACCGGTTCAAACTCGCGCCATCGGCACAGGACCTTGGTTGCCTGCGCCTTCAAACTGCGCGCGAACCGTAGCCACGTCACTTCGCCGCCATTGCATCATCCTGAGCGGTCGCCTCTATTCGCCTCTCCGGTTATCGGACTTTCATCGCTGTTATTCATATTCCATCTTCATGCGATGACGCCAGCCTGCTATACAATAGTTAGTTTGACTTTATAAGTGAGGATTTTCGTATTTGTACTGCATGCACACCGTACCTGAATAGCGTTAGAGACATGAGAACATTCTGAAGAAACTTTAGGGTGGCATAAGCAATTGACGCAGCCCATTTTCTTCAAAAGAACAGAGCAATTGAAATCAACGCGTTAACCAAAATCAAACAACACCATTCTAGTTTTCCGACACGCCGAAAACGATGGTTGCTATGCCGATTTACGAAATTTCCAAATAAGTCGGAAAACTGAAAAAATCAGGGGGTGGCATATACAATTGACGCGCACTGCAAACCGTGCGGCGATGCTTTTATATATGTTTAAACACCGTAAAGAGGTAGTTATGGCCCGAAGGAACTCAGGCGTAAGTATCCAAACTCAACCTTAAGGGGTAGTCATTAAAGCCGTATGGTCCAACCATGAAGGGCGAAACACATATGAACAAAGCGCCGCCAATCACCAGCAAATGGTAGCTTCCAGCATTCTATAGATTAGCGGTTACAGCATCCTCCATAACTTACGAGGGAGTGAAGGGTAAATAGACATGACCATTTAAAATGAGATGTATACCACCTAGTGCAATTACAGACGCTGATTCCAAATCTGCCTTCCAGATCTGCTGAACGGTGCTGTGAGCAAAATTACGAAGGTTTTCACCACAAGTGATGCCTTGGCCTCTCGGTGGAAAAGCAGTTTTGCAGACGATGTCAGAAGATCGGATCCGCTTAATCATTTTTCTTTGCCTTTCTTATAGCACGTTAGCAGGGGGTAGATTGTGGTTTTCGACTTTTTTCCCTTGATTATTGTGACTTTGGAAACGCAGAACTCTAGAATATGCAGGAACGGGAAAGCAACGTGGCATTTTCTCGTCGAAAGAGTGTAATCAGCGACTCCAAAAAAAACCAAACCACCATTTGTAACAAATTTCTGGCCAAATCGAGAATTTGACCCCTATATCTAAAACTTGGAGGAACCACGGGTTGTATCTTTGTATATAACTGATACTTTCTGCACCACCACGAGTACAACTTTTGTGGAAAAGAAGGTTCCGAGCGTTTAACATAAACAGGGACAGTAGAAACCCATCATAAAATAACCTTCATTTTTTGCGCCTTGTCGCCAGGCGGTCTTCTTGACATTGATCGCTGCCCAGGGCCACCAGGTCCAAGCACTTTCTCAGAGTCCAGGTGTAGTCTCTAGGAATGTGTTATAAGATGTAATTAGAGTTTCCGAACGTGAATATCGCCTTGGTGCGACGCGAAAACTCAGGGGGTGCATTATGAAGCTAGTTCTCTCCTTCTGTCGTGACAGCCACGACCTCGAGTAAAGGTGCTCTAAAGCAGCTGGTCAGAGGGCAGGGCGAAATACCGGTTCAAACTCGCGCCATCGGCACAGGACCTTGGTTGCCTGCGCCTTCAAACTGCGCGCGAACCGTAGCCACGTCACTTCGCCGCCATTGCATCATCCTGAGCGGTCGCCTCTATTCGCCTCTCCGGTTATCGGACTTTCATCGCTGTTATTCATATTCCATCTTCATGCGATGACGCCAGCCTGCTATACTATAGTTAGTTTGACTTTATATCTTATATATTAATCTAAATATTAGCTTTAATCGCCTAGCCGGGATAGCCTCTAGTAGTCACCACTTCTTACTTACCTTAGGTCTTAGTAGTCAAACATGGGAGTTAGCATTCTAGTTTTACTTCTCGATAGTAGTTAGCGTAGTCATAATCAACTTTAGTATTCTTCTTCTTAACTGCAATAGGATTTACATAATACAGACTCTTTTCGTGTAATACTTTCTAGTATGTGTTTAACAGTTTCTTATGTAGTGTTTATTCAGGCGATATGAAGAAGTATAATATTTAGGTGTATAACAGTCAAGTCTAACATGGTCTACGCCGCGCACACGCCGCCGTCTATCTTTCGCCTAGTCGATCCTTCGTGTCATCTTGGATCTCTTCTAGTTCAATCGGCAGATCGACATCCTTCGCACTACTAGGTAATTCGCACGCGCCAGCATGCTCATGCCCTATGGGCTCAGGGAAGCAAGGCCTCTTGTCAACCCGCGGCAGGCATCAAGGACTTCGGTCAGCATTCTTCGCTGCACGCTTCTTCCCTTTCAGAGGTGTTGTGGGCACCCACCGGAATCCCACGTTTTTTGTGTGTCTCGTGGGGTTCACCGATGCGCTTCCCACTCCATTGACGTGCGAGGCACGACACCTTCAGGGACACTCACATATGCAATGTTTCCACTCTGAAGAGGGAGAATATGTGGTTTCTATGCTAACTACGTATAATACTCTTCCTCAAAATGCCATTCTATTTCTGTCTACAGCTTTTCAGCAAAAGTAGTTAACTTGTTTGGTGTAGAAGAAAG